TATGAAACCTGCATGGTTCAGTTTTATTACCTAGAGAAATGTGCGGATTTCCGTGAGCGGAAAATATACGGCCTGTAGTTCAGAAACCCTGAATCAAAGAGTAAAGTTAGAGCGGGTTCAAAATTATTCGGGAATCAGAAAAGTTTTTGGGAACGGAATTATACCCTTCCTTCAAGACGTAATTTTCTACCATATTGGCGAAAGACTGAATATTTTTATGCTTGTTTCGTATGAAATATAACTGGACGTTTAGGGTCATCCAAAATCAATGGGAAAAAAGAATGCAACCGGAAGGGGGTTCATTCAAAACCCGGAATCTTGAGGTAACTGAAACATTACAGAACTCTGTCGCAGGCTGACAAATTTTACAACGCTTCTTAATTAATCTTTTCGAAACGAAAACGCATTTCGGAATTTCGGTTGGCATTTCATGATTTAGCCCACCTACTGTAACTGGCCTGAGGAAATTAAGCCTGCAAGGACGTTTTAGCCATCAGCTCTTGGGTGGCTGACAACTAATGATCTGACTGGGTCCTGAGCCGATCTACACCGACAACTTCTCATCGCAAAATTTAGGGAAGTCACGTTCCGCATTACGCCCTAAAACAATAAGCGAAATCGTTCAATACTGCCTCAGAGGGAAAAGGTTTCCTAAGTGGGGTTTCAGTTCTGATTAGCATGTAATCTCACTCCAGAGAACTTTGAGTGAGCGAGTATTGTGACCTCTGAAAAGGCACGCTTCCAGGAACGGCAGATTGGCCAAAGTGACCACTAGAGCAGTTCCTGTTTTTCATTGATTTTCGATACTGATTCAAATTCACCTATACACTGAAGAAAGTAATCAGACAATTATGATTGATTACAGAGGACGTTCTAGCTCCTAACTTAAGATGCTCTTATCAAGAGGCTTGAGTTTAGTTACAGTTAAATCAAGCTAATCATCCAACCTTCTGTAATGTCTGGAATTCATCGATCCTGATACGCTGTGCCAAATGTCCAAACGGGTTTCCCCAGGCAATCAGTCAGGAATCCACCATATGACAGAGGAATGTTGAAAATCTCCCAAAAAACCTCGTAGTCAGTTGGAACAGAACAGTTTCTAGAGTTCAAATACTGATATTGGTTAAGACCTTTCGATCATATTTGACAGTGTTCGAATAGGGCCATAAGAACCATCCCCCTATCCGTCAACATCCACGACTTAACAAGCAGATGAGAAAACCAGTCGGATACGACTCCCCTGTAGTACAGATGGCCTCACGTTAAATACGGGGGGATTCGTATTTCCGTGTCCTATCTCCAACTCTGACCGTAGCCCACCTAGCCCTAACACTAACCTTCACAATGTCACTCTAATGCCAGCCCTCCCAACTTTAGGTCTGACGCCAGCAGTAAACTTAACTTTAAATCCTCATCTGCCCTGGAATGTAGGACAATGTCGAGTGCAGTGGGGGGGGGGGGGTCCCATGCTCCCGTGCTCAATCGGAAAACTCCAGTCGCACCACGTTCCCAGGTGGTAATGGAGGCGGTGAGAAACGCGCTCTCTCGTACCGGCAACCATGTTGTCTACTTAACCTGAACACTGTGATTCCCTAATTGTGAAGACGTCCACGTGCGTGCGCGTACACATGGTTGACTGCTCTGCCCCGTAGTCGCGGAGATGCCTTTCGCGAGTTGATAGAGCTGGGTCGCCTGACTTTCTAGTGCCGCTTTGCCTGGCATAAGGAGGAAAATCTGTGTAAACAAAACAGCGACTCCAGAGAGACATGACACTGGATGAGAGCTGAGGCGATGCGCGTTCACAAACTCAACGTACAGGGCGCACCCGCCAAGTCTGAGCGAACAACTGTCGTGTGTGGGCAGCGGCGGAGAGGAGGAGGAAGGAGGAGTTGTACTTAAGCAACTGCTATTTCACGGTTAGGAAGGAATTGCCCGAGAAAAGTCTGCGTCAAATTATGGTGATAGTGAGGTGACGTTGGAGGAAAGTGAAGTGGACTCTGTGTGTGCGTGCGCGCGAAAAGGAAGGTCGCCTAAATGCCGCTGATGAGTACCCTAATCGGCGTCATCTAAAACAGGTACATTCGGTGCTGACTGTTTTACGAACGCCAAATACGAGCCGTCAGTGGATGACGTACGCGGAGGTGGAGGAGAGCAAGGCCCAACCCAGAGGCAAAATTCACTCTGCCTTGAGAGACTTCAGTCCACTAAGATGTAATTCTCTCGAAGATTAGCATAAAGAAGCGTCTTTTGGCGCAAATTTATCGGCCCGTATAACTGAAGAAGTAGAAATATGCATACGTTGGTAGCTGGAGGCCGAAAGCCCGCATACTACCTGACAGTCCTTTGTCATGGTAACCAACATTGCGACGTTAATAGGGTTTTTGTTTCTACTCCAACAATTATCAGTTATTTAAATACCATACAGAATGCAGTCTTGACTCGCCTAGGCTGAACAGAACCGATGCTTGCCGTCTGTACTTCACTCAGTCCGTGTCAACGTAGTTTACTGAATTATAGAAATGGCATGAGGACCTTCCAGTCTTTCAATTTAAGAACTGGTTCATCCAAAGCACTACTGATGCTTTTTTCAGTGCTACGCTCCCGTCGTTGTCAAATGCTTTAGCCGACATTGTATTCACTGCCGGAGATGTTTCATTGCATGTGATTACTGGGACTTCAGATGGGGGGGGGTGGCGTTAAGAAGAATGCGGAAGCAACCAATTACAGTAGAGTGCTGAGAGCAGGTCTTCTGGTTATTAGGAGTTTTTCCGTTTAAGAAAAACGAGTAATGAGAGCGCAGACTGATGTTAACCACAATAAAAAGGGCTAAAATGCAGATCGTTACATCCTCGCAGTATAGTACGGAAGCCGTTGGCAGTCGCTCCTCACATGCATGAAAAACAGATGCCTCTTGGGTATAAACAAGAGCAATCGTGAGAGGGCTAATCAGGTTACCATCAGATATGATTCCAACTACACGAGAAGATGCCCTTTTGAGGGCTTAGTCGTAATTAA